AGGCTAAGAAGGTAGAGCTGTTTGCAGTAGGCACAGTGGTGCTGACCCCACAGGCAAGGCTTGGTGATGGAGATGCTGTGTTAGCACTTGGGGTGGTGGTTTATACACTGGTCTAAGTAGCTTGTCCTGAGGCAGGACCACAGAATAGGAGATTGCCAAACTTCCTGTAAAAGAATTAGTGGCTCTGTGGTAGAAAACTGTTGTTATAGAACATTAGAAGTATCACCTTGAGCTGTGGTCTGTGTTTCCCTAGTCCCTGTGGACTTATTTGACCTTTCAGTATGTTTTTCTCCTGGATGGTGGGTAATTGGTTAATAAAAATGGGACAGCATCTATGTGTACATGTCCATTTGAACTTTGAGAGGGACTGATGGGTGGTACTCCATCAGATAAAAATTAAGCTACCGTTCATGACTTTTAATAGGAGGATAGATTTATAGTAAATAGAAGAATTTTTTTAAATATTGTAAAAAATAGCAGTTTGAATTGCTGCACTTTTCTGTGCTTCACAGTTATCCTGAGTGCTTTCTGTGTTGTGTTTCACCCTTTAGACAGAAAATACCTCATAAGGGTAGATGGAAGTGTGAGTCCATGTCAGAAAAGAGAAGAAATAAATAACAGAGCCCTTGATCTGTCCAAAGTTGCCTTCTGTTTTGAAATCAGTTTGCCCAGGGCACAAGAGCACTGCAGCCTTACTGTGCCCATGACAGACTCTGCTGACTTTGCTTTCACACAAATGTATAACTCTGTGTGATTTTGATTATTCACACACATGTATATTTAATTCCAGCTTCACCCGTAAATGCTTTTTCCCTCCAGGGAAAAACAAAGCCATGGAGGTTAACTGTGTCTCTAGCAGTGCAAAGCATGAGGCTTTGCTGACTGTAGTAGACAATTTACATGTAGGTTTGTGGGTTAAGCACCAAGCTGCATATGGCAGGACTCTCAGGGTGTTTCTCTTCCGCTTCAGTACCTCTGAAAACTGCCAGAGCTTGAAAATGCGTGTTGGGCTTTAAGGTCTGTGCAGCACTCAATGTGCTTCATTAAGCTGCACACAGCTTCCCACAAAGCTTCTGAACTTGAGCTGCTGCTTGCACTGACCTCTCCTTGGCTGTCACCATTTGAGTGGCTAAGCCAAGCAGTGAGAGCTGTGGCTGAGCAGGGACTGGAAGGTTCCTGGTTTCTCAGGGAACAAACGGGTTGGGTGAGCTGAGAAATGAACTGGCAGGCAGAGCTGCCTGAGAACTTCTCTGTAATCCATGGGCAGCAAAGCACCTTGCTGAGTTGGTTCTGCAACATGTGGTGAGCAGTTACATTGTGGGTGACTTGACTCTGGAAGAACCTTTCAAGGGGAGCTAGTCTTCTGTAACTAGGAAAGCTTTAAGGAGTCTGTTAAATTTCTAGTAGGTTTTTTTAACAGCAATGGTGAGAAAACTGTATGGCAGACAGTTTAATGATAAAAGTTGGGGTTGGATAAAATGCTGTCTTTAATGCTAAAAGCAAGTTGAAACTAGGTGGTCTTTAGTCCCTTCCAACCCAAAGCATCTGTTACTCTATAAGTACCTGCCTAATTGCATCACTTCTTTCTTCAGGTGTTGCTCTCTTAATGATCTCAGATCTTGTGGTCTTATCCTTCTTTCCTTGTCTGAACTCTGTTTTTTCAAGGGACTGACTTGAAATGTAGTGATGTTTGTATGGAGAGTCACTGCCACCTCCTCTGGGGCACTCTGCATTTGAGCTGGAGCCCAGTCCAGGTCTCCTATCAGACCTACTGTGTCATCAAATAATATGTTCTGTTCTCAGTGTGCAAAGCATGACTAATTCTTGTTATCTCACAGCTTTTGTTTGTGACCACCTGGCACTTGGCTCTAATGGCAGCTCTTCTGCAGACACAAAGGGCAGAGACACAAAGGGTAGAGGTTAAAACTGAGAACCACACCAAACTACTCTGTGGCCTTCATTTGGGGCAGTTGGAGTCTGCAGAAGGATGAATGTTCCAGGTGAGGCTCTTGAGCAACCTGGTCTAGTGGAAGGTGTCCCTGCCCATAGTATAAGGTTGGAAGTAGATAGTCTGTCAGGCCCCTTCCAATCCAACCCATTCTATGATTCCATGAACATAAACTCCATTGCTATTCCTTCCTAAAAGAATCCTTTCAGTGAGTTTTTTTTCTACAAGTCTTTACGTTCTTGAAGCACTGGTATGAGGGTGTTTGGGTGGGAATGACTAAATTCACTTAGTGTGGACTAGAAGATGTAAGGCAGTAGCAATCTGTCATGTTAAACCACTGACAGGTGTTTTGAGGAGGAAAATCAGGACTTTTGCTGCTCTCTGAACCAATGGAAGGTGTCTGTTTCAAGCCTTTCCAGCTCAGACATGCAATTTTCTGGCCAGGAGCATGTTGGCTGCTCTTGGCAAACAGTGGCTGCTGCTTCCTCCCATTGTGTCTCGGGTCAAGCTGTCTGAGTAGCTGCATGCTCAGGCTAAGAATAGTGCAGACCCCAGGGTTTTGACCTCTGTATCCTGCATATTGGCTTCTTTCCTGTAGAGCTTGGAAAAACCCTGGGAAAGGGTGTGTCCCACAAAATAGGTTGAAATGTGTTACTAGAGACTGTACTTACTATAAATATCATGGAGGTTGAGCAGGGGAAGAGCTTCTGTTTCCTCCCTGGTACAGTAGCTTGGAATCCTCTTCTGCACAGACCAGAAATAAAGTCCTGACCCTCTTGCTAGTGGGATGTGACCCTGGAAAGAGTTTACAGTAGGCAATTTAGCTAGTCCTTCTCTTAAAAGCAGGTGACAGCATCACCAGTTTTGGTCTCTTAATGCTTCTAATAGTGCTTCTAATATCAAGTTCACTTTCAGTGTCCATCCCCTGGGCCTGTCACTGAGGTCAGGCTTGCATCCCTGTAAATCACATCCCAAAAGTTTTGTTCAGTCAGCATCTCCCTTCTAAACCTCAACTTCTGAATCCTGTGGTTATGGCAGTAAGATTTATCAAAGAGGTTGTCTGACTCTCAGCCAAGCACATCGAACCAACTCATAGGGAAGTAAGTTTCCCCCTGTAATTTTGTGGAAGCCTGACTTCTAGCCTGTTTTGCTAATCAGCAGCTGGTTGATGCTGCAGCTAATTCTGCCTAAATTGGGGGGTTTATTGCCAGGAGAAGTACAGGGCACCTGTGCTGATGCACACATCTGGAGTAGATCTGCCTGAATGCAGTTTGAGGTCAATGGGGAATGTAGGGAGGATGCTCCACTATGAATGGAATGAGGAACAGCATGAGGGAATTGTGTGGTTGCTACTGTCAGTTCCTAACTGATTGTAATAATCAGAGAATATTTTAAAAACAAAGCCAGACTGTGGGACATTGCTGCAAACTCAGAGTGGTTATATGTATCCAGAGCAGGCAAAACTGTCTCCTTTCTACTGCATCAAGAGAAGACCATAATAAATGTTTACCTCTATATTACCCTGGAATAAGAGTGAGGATAGCTGTTATTGAGCTTTTATCTTCTAGTTTTCTGACTATATACAGAGCTCTTATTGAAAGATGTCTCCCGGACTTTTTTTTTAACGTTTCACAGGTTCTTTTTCAGATTCCACCCAGCCCAGTGTATCTAGGGGAATTTCAAGCTTCTATGATCTTTATTGTCTTTGACTGAAGAGGAAGGACTGGGGAGTGTTTGCTTTCCTGCCTTGCATTACAGGGCAGGGTATGGCTCTCAAATTGTCACTCATCTTCCTTCCCTTTTGCTTCAACTTCATGGCTTTGTTTGCAGTAACTGGAGCCAAGTAGGGGCAGAGTGGTGACTTAGGAGGACAAACCCTCCAGATGGCAGGATGTCATCTCAGTGCTGCTTTGCTCCTGTTTAATGCAGCATCAAATGATTTGGGTTGGAAAGGACCTTAAAGATCATGTAGTTCCAACTTGGAACTACAGGGGCATCTTCCATTCGACCAGGTTACTCAGAGCCCAATCCAACCTGGCCTGAAACACTTCTAGGGATGAGGCATCCACAGCTTCTCTGGGCAACCTGTGCCAGTGCCTCAGCAGGGGGCTTTTAAAAAGTTTTGTTTGGTTGTAGATGCTTGAACTTAAAAATCACTTTTTTTTTTTTTTGTCTGCTTCATGCATGCATAGGCTTGCACAACTTTTATTTTAAGAGAAGCTAAGGGATGATCTGTCTAAGCTGTGGTAGCAAACCCATGCCTACAGCCAGTGGAAAACTGAATTGGTCCCAGTGAGCATGTTTTGAGAAGAGCAAAGGAGATTTCAGCCTTTCTCCAGCCCCAGCCAGCTGAGCCTGTGACTTCGCATGCCATGGTTTGGTTCCTTGCAGGGTTGGAAGAGGAGAGGGATGTTGTGCAGTCACTGCTCAGCCTGTTGGTCCTTAAACACAAATGTGCTGCTTCATAGAGGACTCTGTCATCAACTTGAGTTTTCAAAGAGCTGGTGCTACTCTTGTGTGGTTTTTAACATCACCCTAACCCCTGGGTCACAGCTACCAAACAACTCTGCTGTCTGTTTAAGCTCTGGTAATCTTGGCTGGATTTCTGGTTTAATTTGGAGACAGCCTGCTGCAGCTCTGCACAGTAAATGCCCTATTAAGCAGTTAATTATTTCTCTATAATACTAGCTTTTATCTTTAATACAACAGTTTTACTGTCTCTGATAATTACAGAGTCTCAGATAACTCTCTTAAATCTAATGAGGCATGACAAGCTGTGTTCAACAAGGCACCACACCATTAACTTCTTACCTCTTGCTTGTCATCTTATCACACTGAATTACTGTATTTCTAGCCTGAGTGGCTGTGGGTACATAACATGTCACTTCTCATTAAGAAAATAATGAAAATCATCTCTAGTGCACTCATGGTCAGGCTAGTGGTCAGATGGTTGGCCTAGTGGCCTGCAGACCTCTGCAGCATCATGCTCTTTGCCCCATGAGCTGAGGTTTGGTTTAAATACTTCTGGCCACTCAAGCAGTTTGGTTGATCCATGGGTCTCATGCTTGTGGGTAGGTGAAATGCAAACAGCCCTTTGAATGGCATTGGTGATGATAGATCTTGTCTGTGCTGATGGGGATTGCTGCAGGGATATCTTGTGGTGGGATTCAGCTGGATGAGGGAAACTAGGTTAGTTTTTTTCTGGACGGGGTAGGACACAAAGTGCTGCAGCAATGCCTAGTGTAACTGGACTGATGCTTTGTTACTTGTTAACAGCAATAGCAGATCAGCTCACTGGAGTGCTGGTGTTCTGGGGATTTGAGAGAGGCATCAAAAACCCTGTGTGTGCCTGCCTGAAATCCTGGGGATGGGGAGACTATAGAATCATAGAATGGTTTGTTTTAGAAGACACTTTAAAGATCATCAACTTCTAACCCCTCTGCCATGGGTAGGGATACCTACCACCCGCCCAGGCTGCTCCAAGCCCCTTCCAACCTGGACTTGAACACTTCCAGGACATCTGGACAAGCTTATTCCAGTGCCTCACCACCCTCACATTAAAGAACCTCTTCCTGATATCTGTTCTAAATCTCATTCAGTTTGAGACCATTTACCATTGTCCTATTGCTATCGTCTTTTCACGTATCGCCCTGTCACCCTGCCAGTAAAAGAAGTACAAAGCTGTACTTCTGAAATGTCAAGGCTCCTGGCAGGGAAGTTTCTGCATCCTTCCAGGCTGGACCAGGAAGGTATTTCCCAAGGGCATGAGTCCAGGCTGTCCCTTGAGGCAGGAGTTGAGGCTTAGCTGACAGGCTGAGTGCTCAAACACAGCTGGACTGAACAGAGCAGTCTGTCTAGATGCAGAACAGCAAAGAGCCCTTTATTTAGGAGTCAGTAGTATCCAGCTAATGTTTTGGTGTTTCTCCCAGCCTTTACTGAGCCTGCTGCTGACTCTGCTTTTGGAGATGGGTTTGCCATCTGGTATGTGGAGCTTGTAGGAGTTGTGCTGTCAAAGCTGTGTATTTCCCCACCGAGGAGGGAAGGCAAAAACCTTGTTATGAGTTATAACCTGTGTCATTCAGATTCCCTGTGGGTATTTTATGGGATGCTCAGGGGATCATCTATTGGGTTATACATATATTAGATCAGTTCCTAGCTCTAAAGGGCAGGTTTTACTTGAACAGGAGCTATTTGCTTCTCTGTGGCTTCATCAACTGGAAGACTAACTAGTGAGTAGGGTGTAAGCCTAGAACCAGGGCTGGGTACTTAGTTGTGTTTAAAGCTGTGCTGGGCTCAGCAGCAGCATTAGTGATCTAAAATGGACTAGAAGTGTTGCTTGTGCCCTGTTGCTCCCACAGGCAGTGGGAGACTCATGTCTATAAAAGTGCATCTCCTCACCCCACTGGAGAGCAGGCACCAGCATGTGGCTCTGATGTCCCTGCTGTCATCTGATGCACTCTGGGACCTTATTTCATATCCCCAAGTTGCCCTGGGATGTTCAGACTGCCCATCCTCATGTTCCAATGACTGTCAGTAGTGAAAAAAAGTCCCTTTGTTGGGTGTAAATTTGGAGGCAGTCACTGATGTGTAGCTGGGGGAATGAAGAAAGAATAACTGTGGCAAGTGTGATGGTGTGTGTCTGTTCTGGCTCTTGGCTACTTTTTGAAGGAGCAGAGTAGGCTACAGAGCTCCCAAGGGTGAGGAGTTAGTGATGATAAAATAGAATAACTGATGGTCTCTTTGGGCTTCTGCAGTTTGTGTGTTCCTCAGGACTTGTAACAGGCACAGCTGGGATGTATAGAAGGATTTGGTGGTTACTGCTTACACCAGGTACTCACCAAGTCCCATGGCATGAAAATGCAGTTGCTGCAGGATGCCAGAAGCACACACCAAGCACCTCTGCTGCTCCTCTTTTTGATCCATGGGTGCACGTGTTGCCTCTGGTTAGTTTGCAGCCAGGTCCTAGGGAAGAATCATAGAATCCTTGAGGTTGGGAAAGCCCTCTAAGATCATCAAATCCAACCACTAAGCCAGCACTGCCAGACCTACCACTAACCCCTGTCTCTAAGGACCACATTACAGGTCTGCTGAGGACTTCCAGGGACAGTGCTTCCACCACTACCCTAGGAAGGTCCTTTGGTTCTACTCAGCATTAGACTGGCACATGCTGAGAGTCCTGCAGGATTCTTTTTGACTGCTTTTTGCAGGGAATATTGGAGCAGATTGCACATGTGTATGGGTTCAGCTCTGCTGGTTAATGTAACCTCTTGAATTCTCTTTGCAGTGAAACGATTTAGGGAGCCAAAGGAAGAGAGGAGGCCCTGGAGGATATGGTGAGATTTTTCATTTGACACCTGAAAAGACCACATATATGTATATAACATTTTCTGTTATACTAACAGTCTCCTAGGCCCTCTGAATATCCTGTTTGGCATTTAGTCATCGAATGAAATGTTCTGCTGCTGCTTGCCAAGGAATCATCCATAAAGTAGCTGGTCCTTCCTAGAAGTAAAATTCCCTGCCTAACTCTTCCAGAAAACTTGTTTTAACTGTAGGTGACAGAACCAAGAGGTTATGGTCCCCTCCAGTCTGCTAGCATAACTGCACATGGGCTGTGTCCCAGGCAGGGTCACGCTTTGTTCTTAAATTTGATTAATCACTTTGGTATCTCCCGACCCAGCTCAGACAAAGACCAGGCAGTGTGTGTGGCTGTGTGCTGAGGTGAGGTAGCTGGGAATCGCTGTCAGCTTCAGATGCTTCTACAGAGCATCTCTGTATTGCAGGGTTTAGGGGTGGGTGTGTGGCTGGGGTCAGTGTATGTTCAGACTGGCTTGGCAGCATGAGCTACCAGCCAATGTTAGTAATGCAAAACGTGCCAATCTCCTCAGCTTGGTCCTGCATTTAAAATAATTCAGGAATTCAGCCCAATTCTCTGTGCACAGGTGCAAAAATGTAAGTAGCTGAACACCTTTCCTGCACTTGCTGCTGGTTGGGGAAACTGAGGCTGAGCAGGAGGGTGAACTGTCCCTAGCTGCAGGTTAAAGCTCAGCAGATGGACAAGGTTAAACTGCCTCTTGCTGAAATGGGATTTTTTTTTTTTGTTTGTTTTAAGTATTTGGAGTTGGCCAAACTGCCCTTTCTCAGCATATACAACCTCTCAGGTATCGGGAATAGGTCCTGGAGGAAAGCAGATCCATGTAGGACTTGGGTGACTGCTCTGCAGCTGGTACTCCAAGGCACAGATCTTTCTGCCTCTTTTTTCCCCAGGTTTTATGATACCTCCAAGCAAGCAATAGGTGCCCTCTTCATCCACTTTGCCAATGTTTTTCTGTCAGATCTCACTGAAGAGGACCCTTGCTCTCTGTAAGTACCCAAGGCACTTGCATTCATGCCCTGCATCTGTCAGAGGAAGAAGTAAGCGTGGGAAGGGTCATGTGTGATAAAAACAGATCTACTTGAAGCAGTATGTGTGGGGATAAACCCTGCTGAGCTTATTTTTGGAGTTTGGGTTGTGTTCTTTGCAGCCTGTTGGTCCTCTTTGGGGGATTTCTAAGCCAGACCAGACTTAACATAGCAATGTCACCTTTACTTCAGCCACTTTGCAGCTACAAATTTCATTTCAGAATTAACCTCATCTCATTTTGAGATGCTTCTCTAGGCTTTTCAAAATGCTGCTGAAAACCTTCTGGATCATCTCCTTTTTGTATACTAAGTGCTGCACCTTGATGTGTTTCTTCAAGCAGACACAAATTTGGCTGAGGCTACATATAACCTCTAAAATGATGTATTGTTGTTTTTTTTAAACAGACACTGTTTAAAAATAAACCCTTTGGTGCTTATGCTATGCCCTTTGGGTGTGCTGTTTATTTTTCATGTGTGTTTTATGTTTCCCTGTGCTGCCTAACTTGTCACCCTGAACCAGGCAGCTTAAAATCCTCCTGTCCCTGGGCTTTGAGGCTCATATGCTACGTGTCTTGCCCAGCATAAACCACCAGAGCCTTGTGTTTGTATTGAATACTCTGATTTCAGCAGCTGGAAACTGTAATAAACTAGTCTGAGCTTTTGGATGTAGAAAAACTTAATGTTATGCTTTCAAAGTAGATATCAAAACCAGATTGTTGTTTGCAGTTTCTTGATTTAGAAGCAGTTTTGAGTTCTGGAAAAGGAAAAGTTCATTCTTGTAGCTCTGGGCTTGGCATTTTTTTTCATGCTGTAGAAATCTGGAAGAAAATATTGCAATAATGGAAAACTGCCCATAAAGCATTAGTCTGTGTGATTTTCATTTTATTTTCCTCTGGAGCTTATTAAAATACCAAGCTCTGGATTAGAGCTTGGACCCTGCAATCCTCAGAAGGTCCCTGCAGGTCTCCTGCCTCTGGTGCTCTTGTCTGTGACACTTAAACATCCAAAGCTGCAGAGCAAACCAATTGAGCCCATATCTCCTGGTAGGGATGGGTTCAGATCTTGGATCTGCAGTAGGAACCTTGAACTCAAGGTTTTTGGGGACCCAGGCTGCCTGCTGGGCTCATCACCTCTCCCCAAACCTGCCTCTGTCTGTGTCTCTGCTCGTAGGAGCCTCTTGCAGCTGCTCAACAAAATGGACTTTTTGCCTCTTCTGCTGCCCAGTTTGCAGAGCAGCTGTGGTGTCAAAAAAACCTGCTTTTTTTTTTAAATATGAAACTCCTGCTGTTACCCTGTAACCTGGGATTTCATGCTAGTGGAAACAAAACATGCTGTAAATGAGAAGCCTCTTTAGGGGTAGCTTTTAAGCAGGTCTAGCTCAAGAGGTACTTATTGCTATATGAATAAATGAGTAATGTCAGAGAGTTGGTGCAGCTTATTCCCTTCTCACCTGAACAGGCGTTTAAACTAAGAAATTTCTGGTAAGGCTATAGGAAAATCTAATAAAAGAGGAAGGAAGTGAACTTGGACAGCTAAGTGTGGTTATTTAAAATATTGGGGTTTTTTTTATGGATTCCCATATTGAAATGAAAGACTTTGAATAAGGCTTAAGAACAAAACTGTAATCTGAATTTTCCTCTGCTCTTTAGCTACCTTATAAATTTCATCCTCGATGCCACGCTGGGGATGCTGCTGATCTGGGTGGGTGTGAAAGTTGTCTCCTGGATTGTGCAGCACAAGAAGTACACACACCTGGTCTTTGGGGAATATGGTAGGTATCAACCTCTCCATGCAAGAGTGGCTGGTGTGCTCCTGGCTTGGAGTGGGGAGAAGACAATGGGAGGAACTGCAGTTTGAGGCTAAAACATGTGAGCTGCTGCCTTCTGTTATCCCTTCTCCCAGGAGCTCTCTGAGTGTGGTGGTAAATGCTGGGGCATCATTAAGTCATGGGTAACTCTTGCCTTGCCAAGCACACTTGAGTGTAGCAGGTTAGTGATGAAAACCTGAATGCTTCCTTGGGGGTATAATATCCTCCAGGACATGGATATGATAAATGAAGGTGTTTGGGGAGTGGTGACTTTTGTGGGACTCTTTCAGGAGTTTTTCCTAGCCTCTCTGTTCAAAACATGGAGTTATTCTTGCATTTGCCTTGAGCTGTAGTAGGTAACAGCCATATGGTGTGGCCTCAAAACTGAGTTCTCAAGCTTGGCCTCTCTCTTCTTAAATTCCTGCCTTCAGATGGAGTAAAAGGTTCAGGCAAGCTCCACTAGAGGGTAGCAGTTCCCTACTGAAAGAGCAGAGCCAGCTTCCAGGAGAAGCTGTGGGAAAGGGAAAAGTTAACCCTTTGCCTGTTTTACATTACATCTAATACACAGATAAGTTCAGCCTTACTTTAGAAAATCCATCTTATTCATACAAATTGCATTCTCACCTTTAAGACCTTAATCATTAAGTCTATTCTGAAGTTAGTCTTGTTTCTTTGTTATTTTTAGTGTCTGGTCTGATAACTGTGTGAAACTTGGACTGAACTAGGATTGGTTTGGAGGCCCCACAGAACTTCTCAGGCTCAGATTCAGCATGTGTAAATAGGTTATGGCAGAGGATGAAGGGGGTGGTTGGGTTTGTGAGACAGAAGAAGCAGCTACAGACTGGGAATGGGATGACAACAGGTGGGTTGAAACGATGGGATGTGGCTGGGCTAGCTCTCCTCAAACCTGAGAGTGACTTTAAAGGCTGAAGTAGTTTCCAGGGCAGTTTCAGCATCCTGAGAGCCCAACTACAGCCATCCCAGGGCACAGCTTCATGTGCCACGTCTGCAGTTGAGCAGAAGCAAGGGAATCTTCAAGTGTATTGGCAGGGCAGTAATGAACTTCTGTTGAGCTGGCCCCTCATGAGGGCTGGCTTAGACTGCAGAAACAGCTCACTCCTCTGAGGAAATCTTGCTTTCATTAGCAAAAAATAAGTTTCTGCTGTTGCCTGAATGTAGCTCTTGAATGAGGGACTAAATATCTCACCCACCAAATACAGCTTTTGGTGCAGGTCTCTGACCAGAGGGACCACAATGGAAAAGTTAGGTAGGAGCCAAGTGGCATGTTCAGTGCAATCCTGTTGCAGGGCTGGGGAAGGAAAACACTGTCTTCATCTCGGGAATATGATTCATTTTCCTGGCTAATTGCTATACCAGACTTGATGTTGCTTCCCTCAGTTCTCCTGAGGAGCAAAAGTCTCTTCTAGTTCTGCAGAGAAAAAAGAGCAGAAAACCAGGGTAGCACCAAATCTGTGTTGCAGACAGTGAGTGCCATTGCTCAGGAAATTCTCATCAGGGAAGAACAGTTGTCTTTGTCCAGTATAGCCAATACCCATCTCCCTGCATCAGCTCTGAGCAAAAGGAATCTCTTGCAGCTGTGTCCTTCCAGCTCATGGTTGCATCCCTGCAACTGATGCAAATCACTGCAGTTATTCTGTGGTTTGGGCTCCAGCAGTTCTTCCTGCTCTGAGGTTGTTACACCTACTTCCAGAGCCCTGGGTTCTTCTCCCTGTGTGACTGCAATAGTTGTGTTAATGGAGAAGCATAGAAAACAGAAGGGAAAGCACCTAAATCTACACTGCTATTTTAAGCATCCAGCTGTCCAGAACTGTTTAGAAAAATCAATTACTTCCATATTTCCAAAAAGCCAGAAACAGTCATTCTGAGATCAGTCTCTCTCGTGCCTGAGCTTCTTAGCCAAAGGCTGCTGGAGCCAGGAATGACCTGTTTCATAGCTAATGGAGAGTTAAAGGCTCCTGTGTGATTGTTTCTCTATCTTTGCTCTACAGCTCTTGATTACACTTTGGGATGCCTCTAGGCACAGGAAATTGCTTTCTGCAAGGCTGCTGTATCCTCTGAAGATGCTTGACTCCTAAGATCAAAGATTGGAGAGGTTTTTCTTGGTACAAGTAGATTTTGGGGAATGTTGGTTTCTTTACATGTACTCCAAGATAACAAACTCATCCCTGGAAGTGTACAAGGCCAGGTTGGACAGGTCCTTGAGCAGCCTGGTCTGGTGGGTGGTATCCCTGCCTATGGTGGGGAGGTTGGAACTAGAGGGTCTTTAAGGTCCCTTCCAACCCCAAACCATTCTGCAATGATACTATGAAACTCCACAAATGCTCTGTGCTCCATTGCTGTAGCAGGGAACTTCTGCAGGAAGGAGAACAAAGAGTTTAAGCTGCAAAGGCATGAAGGTGGATACCCAAGTTCTGAAGGTGCTACTGGGCCTATACAGACTGGGCAGGGCAGGTGCTGATTGGAGTCAGCATGCAAACTGAGCCTGATTCAGCTTTGTGCCTCACCTTCAAGTTGGTCCAGCTCCCTTCCTCATCCCCATGGCAATAAGCAGCTCCCTACAGGGAATCTCTGGATGGCTGCATTGCCCTGGCATTGTCATTGTGTCTAATAACTCTCAAGCATTACTTTAGAAATACTCCAGTATTTCTTTTAAGTAAGCAGCTGCTGTGAATTTACATGAAGACATATTTTCTGCTATGTGAAAGTAAACTTTTCTAGAGAAGCATTAAGAAATGAGGGGGAGAAAGAGTATTCTTACTTGAAAATGCCTCTCTGGGCACTCATTTAGATGCTGACTTATGTATAACTGTGGTTGTACTCACTGACTAGTCAAAGCTTAGTGCTTTGTGCTCTCAGAGTCTGGAAATGGAAAAGCATGTTGCTTGGAGGCCTTTAAAGTCTGTTCAGTTGCTTGTTGAACTCTGCTGGTCAGATTTAGTTGTAGGAGAATATGCTGTGTGCCAGCTGCTGAGTTGAACTGAGGACCTGTGTAGGCTGCTTTTGGCCCTGTGGTGATGCTGTACAAAATTTCCATAACAAATATTCCCACGTCCTGGAGCAGTCAAGGGAGAGCTGGCTGCTAATGCTTGAGGAAATACTGCTGAAAATAGCTCTAACCTGAGGGGCTGTCCTGTCCTCAGCCTGCTTGGCCTGTCCATCCCTAGGACAGGGGGGGAAAAGAAAGGAGAGGACTGAGGTCAGTGATTGTGTGGTCAGATCACTTGCTTTGAGCAGAAGTGCAGACTTCTAAACCTCCTGGATCTGGATGGCAATAGCAGTACTTACCCCACTGCAAAGCAGGACCCCCAGGGACCAGTGTCTCCAGTGGTGTGAGCCTGCAAACTGGGCATAGATTCCAACTGTGCACTCCCTTTTTTTCAGTTCAGCTCTAGCACAGGTTGCCCAGAGAAGCTGTGGCTGCTCTATCCCTGGAAGTGTTCAAGGCCAGGTTGGATGGGGTTTGAGCAACCTGATCTAGTGGACGGTGTCCCTGCTCATGGGGCTTCTTCCAACCCACACCATTCCTGTTCTATAATACATTTTGGTTCAGATGCAGAGTGTGCCAGAGAGGGTCTGGAGTGTCCCCTGGACTCATGTGGCTGCTCTGATGCATCAGGTCCTGTTCTTGCCTTCCAAGTGAGACTTCTGTGCAGTTCAAGTGTTCGCTGCTAGTTCTTACCCTCCTCTGCACTTGGCACTGATGATTAGATCCCTTGGTTTTGTTGGCATCATGTGAGTATCTCTCAAGAAGTTTTTACTGACTTCTTCTGTCCTCTCTTAGTCACCTAGTATAAGTTTCAGTGCTTTCAAATATTTGCCTTTCCTCAAAAACCCTGAACTTTCCTATTTGGCTGTGGTTAAGCTTTTTCTTACCTGCTCCGTGCACACACAGTCCCCAAAAGACTGTAAATAAAGCTGTCTGACAGTAACATGTGGGCTGTGCTGACAGCTTGGTGCGTTAGGCAGCCTGGATTAAAACTAATCCTGTTGTGTGGTAACAACTCAAATACCTCAAGCAGTGCTGCTCTTGCTCTGCCAGCAGTTGGGCTCCCACGCACAAGTGGAATATGTGAGATGTGTCTGTGTGAGGTTGTTGCAGGCACCAGTGGTCCTAGGTCTGCCCCAAGGAGGTTTTGCTGATGGTGAGGAGCACCAGCTATGCTGCTGGAGGACAACAGTCAAAATTGAGTGTGCATCCTTTGGGATGAAGCTAAAGAAGGATGTTAGTTTCTGTTAGGGTGGGAGATGGCTATAAGAAGGTTTTAGGAAAGGCTGTTCATTAAACTAAGAGAGGCTTGTGATAGACTCAATGTGTAGAGCTGAGATGTCCTGGATTATCTTCCTACTAGGACCAGGGGCAAGAAACTAGAAGGGTTCCTGTTTGGAAGTTCAGGCTTGCTGTACCACTTGAACATGCTCAGCCAGTGAAGCTGGCTTAACTGGGCCAGACCTCTGGCCCTGGAGAACTGGGATTCACCAGGAGGTATCTTACAGAGCATAGTAAAATCTGTTGTTTAGCAAAAAGAAAAAAAAGTTACTTTTCCAAAGGAAACCTCAGGAAAACTTATGAGTAATTTGTTGGCTTTCTTGCAAACTGGAAGGGAAAATTTTTCAGGGTGAGAGGCTGTTAACCTTGGAGACATGGGCAAGTCCATGCCTAGGGTGGGTTAAGAACCAGGTTGTCTTTTCTAGTGTCTGTGCATCAGCCTGGTTAGCCAAAACCTGCCAAGAGCTGTCCTAGTACACAGAATGCAAACCCAAGAGCCACAGCCTATGGTTGTGATGGTGAATGGTGGTGACCTATCCCCAAAAGGGTGTGAGGGGGCAGGTATTTGGGAGAGATTTCAAACTTGCTGCTGCTTTTAGGGCAAGCTGAGATGACAGAGGGAAGTGTTCCACAAGTGCCATCACTGCAGAAGCTATGACTTTCAAAGGGAACTGTGGCTGTTAGACCTGTTCCCCCCATGGGGGACAGAGCACATCTGACAACACAGAGTGAAAGGGCAAGAGTTCAAATGCAGGAAGGACACGGTAGATGTTTGTTTTCCTGTTTTGTTTGTACTTGGAGCTCTGATGGGTGATGGAAACCTGGGGATTTGTAGGAGAATTGGTTGGTGTTGGGTTATGGGGCTAAATGCTCACTATACGTAACATGTGCCAAAGGCAATCAGGCACCCAAGTCTATCAGGAGAGGTTTTTAGGAGGATCAAAGCCTCTGTGACACCAGCCTTTAACTGCTAGCTGCCTGTAACCCTCCTCCTGTCTCCTCCCAGACCACCCATTAAGCTGTTGCCTGCCAGGGAGCAGAGACTTGTGCTTTCCAAAGTCCTCTGTGGGCTGTGCTGGTTGCACTTGCACATAACCTTCCTGGCTCCCTCTTCTTGCCCTCCTTCCGACAGAATCCCTGCTGCTTTGGCTCTCTCTGCTTGCTGTCCTCATCCCTGCACCCTTGGCCTCCCAGTCCTTTGCTTCCTTCTCAATCATGGCTTGAGTAATTAAAAAGTTGGGGTGCAATGTGGTCCTTTGGAGGTCTCTGACATGGAGACACATCCTGGATGCCTCTGCCTTTCAGCTGGAGCTTTGCAACAAGGCAGATGTTTGCTAAGTTGCTAACAAATGGCAGAATAAGGACAAATATACATGTAAACCCATTTTGCCCTTGCCTGGGAAGCAGATTCCCATAGACCTGGGGCTTGGTTGGATACCAACACTAGCTAAATCCAGATCTGTGCTGCTGGTCCCTGTGGCCAGAGGTTTGCACAGTGGTTGGGATAAATGTGCCTTTGCAAAACTGTTGGTGTTGTCCTCCCCTGCCACGTCTCAGCAGTTTTGTGCTGAGGAAAGTAGGGCAGAGCTCTCAGCCCATTACCCTCTGACTGCATTGAGCGTTGGCATCTCACAGTGCCAACTGCATGGGTTCCCTTGCACAGATGGAATTCCAAATTCCGGCCAGATTAGCCTGGGAACAAGTGTTACCAGGGCTTATCTTTATTTTCAAGTGGTAAGAGGAAATGCTGCAGGTTTCCTAAGGCAGATACTGTGGCTCAGTTTTGCAGGCCTGAGATATTCTGATGAGCCTGGGAAGATGATAACAGGCTGGCAGGGTGCTTAGAGGGCTGAAGCAAGCACATGTAATAGATACAGGACCATTCTTGTTGTTAACAATACAAATATGCTTTTCCTTATTACTGGATGAGTACCCCATTGGAAACATTCATATTTAATTAGCATTGATTCTTTCGGAGTGGATTGCTCTCAAACCTGGGGCCCTGGAGTCCCTGTCTCTCACTCAGACAGGCTCACATAACCAGCCCTTCACTGATTCAGCAAAATAAAATCATTCTGTTTGGGACTGAGAAGTTATGCTGCTTGTGGTGAAAATGGTCACCTGAAGTTTTCAGGCTATTGCTGGGTGAGTAAGGCTTGGTAGGGAGCAAATTGCAGGTGATGTCTTTAATGGTTTATTTGGTTTTACTTCATTTTATAGAGCAGTGTGCAGGTTACTGGGCCTTATTGAGAGGAGAGTCAACCCAGCAATATCTTGGGGTTTGCTGTTGGGATTAGCTTTAATTCAGAAGGGAATATCAATCTGCCATTCTGGTCAAAATACATCAGGATTTTGTGAAGTACTTCCTATCCATGGAAGGGTGGGATCAAAATTGGAGGGAACCATCTCTGTGGACTTCTCTAGACTTGATGATATGAAAACGAATGAACTCTGGTACCTTGATCAAAGGGTACCAGGGAGGAGGCAAAGCAGATGACTAATGGCCCAATGCAACAGATGCTTGTAAGAAACATTTGGAGTAGGATGCTGAGATTTCTGAGCTTTCAGGCTTTCCCTGTATAAAGGATTTTGATGGTGTGTGCTTTGAGGAGATGGGAGATTTGCCTCATTGCACAAGCGCTGAGCATGAGGCAACTTTTCTGCAAGGTGTTTTCTTCCTGTCCTCTATCCCAGATCTAATATGCTGCTTTTCCAGGTGACCCTCCACAAGCTGCTGCCTGGGTTGGCCAGTGTATCCTCTACTTGCTGATAATGGTTTTTGAGAAGACTGTGATTAGCCTTGTCCTGCTTATCCCTGGTTGGACAAAGGTAAGCTGTATTTTATTAGCCACAGTCGTGGTTTGCTTCTTGTCAGCTTTGCCTGATTCATGGTTCCCATCATTGTAGGCCTTTAATCCATAGGACTTGTTGACATCCCTCTGTAGTCATTAGTTATTACTTATGTTTTGGGAACATGACTTTCAGAACAGTTTGGCTTTTGGTACGTTTTCTTGCTAGTCAAGAGCTAGTGGAGTAAGATGATTCTTTAATTTTCTTTCCCAGTCTTGGAAGGATAAAACGGGCTGGGCTGGCAGCTGAGCTACTTCAGTTCTGCCAGAGGATTTCTACATTATCTTGTCAAATCAGGCCATGTTGGTTCTTCATGATCCCATTCCTAAACTAGGGGAGACTCTTAGAGGTTGATTTGGAAAAAACTCTCCAAGTAACATGTGCTTCTCCCCTCAGCTGCTTCTGTTTGGTAATTGATGCAATGGTAACTGTATTGATCACAAGTTTCTCTTTTAGCTAGTAAAAAGAATAGCTTGTGGCAAGTAGGTGTGATGGGTATAAAACCCAACTCTGGGAGTCAGTGGGTAACTCCAGTTTTGAGTGCACTTACACAGAGTGCCTGGTACCTCACAGGCTCAAGTGACTTGATTGAGGAGCTACTTACAGCAGCCTGGGAGCACCTGTCTGTTCCTGTTCAGGGTTTGTCCTTCAAACCCAGTAGCCTACACTGCTCAGACTTGGATGTGAACGTGTTCAGTAGCACACACTGCTAGATCCAGAGATGCTGCTGGATTCCTCTCCGTGATGACTGTGCATGGCTGGTGTCCTTATTTTTCAGCTAGGCTCCGAGGAGCCAAAGGAAGTCCCACCAGTTGTCATGGATAGTTACACTGAAAGACTCACAGTACTTAATTCTCTACAAAATCATGTGTTTGGCAGCTGGGCTAAGGAATAGCCAGTCAGTCTTTCTAAGAGCAGAACAGAAGCAAAGGCTGTAGAGCCCTGGCTAGGAGACTGCTGGTGTAAGAAGGCAATGAGTTTTCATCAAAGATCTCACAATAGAGCTGTTCCAATAATGCTTCTAAATATTTTCTCCTCTGCAGCTTCAGCAGATCCTTCTGGGTTACATCCCAAACCCCCAGGTGGAGCTTGTCCTGGTGATGCTTGTTGTGCCTTTCATAGTCAATGTAAGTGATGCCTCTGCAAGTGCTGGGTGGGCTGGTCTGGAAATCAGGGTCAGCCACCCCCATGGGGAGTGTGCACAGGGATTGCCTTGGGGGCAGCCTTGAAGTGGCTGGGACAGGGTGGAGGGGAGTGGAAACAAGTATATCTGTCATAAATCTGTCACTATTTCCTGCCATGGTCTCTGTTCCCAATTCCTGTCCCTTTGTCCAAGCTGCTGGGTGGCCAACTCTTTACCTCCTTGAAGAACACTGGGTCATGTTAGCTGAGGGCTGATCTCAGCAGCAAGCTACAGGCATGGGGATGCCCCAAAACCCTTCAAGGTTGGCTTGTGACCTTGGCAACCTGCCAGTCTAGCCATTTGGCTGGACTTCAGCTTGTGTGACAACAAGGCAAGGTGTTCAGGTTATCCAGAACTAGGCATCATCTCAAAACAAGTTTGGTTAAACCTCTTGAAAACTCATTTGCCTCATTCCCCTGATTCTGGGTAATCCCTGACCTGCTGCTCAGTTCCTGAAAAGGGAACAAGGTGTTAATATTCAGATGCTTCCTGGACAAGGAGCGAGTCAAACTTTTTCAGCTCATACCATGAGCATTGCAATGCATGTAGCAATGGCAAAGTTGGATTTACCAGCCTCTCTCCCCCACTCTGGGCTGTATTTCCCCATTTGGGAGCAAGTTCTGGTTCTCAAAGAACTGACCAGGCAGTGGTACAGACAGAGCAGATGAACCTTGAATGAAGCTTGGTTCAATGGTTGTTTTCTGGTGGAAACTTGGCCTATTGTGGTCTTTTGGTGGGGCTTTTTGTTTGCTTGTTTGGTTTTTTTCCTCTGGGTCTTCAACGACTGTGAAGTCAGTAGAACTTGTATGAGAAAGGACCTGAGGCATTTGATTCATTCAACCCCTGTGGAAACACTTAGTGTAGAATTGTATTGAGATATGAGGCTGATCAGGGCTGGACATCTGAAGAAGCCAAAAAGAGAATATCTGTGGTTGAATGACTTTGTGTTTTGGTCTCTGCAATCTATTCATGTAATTTCTTTCTCCCCAAGGCCATTATGTTCTGGGTTGTGGACAGCCTGATCATGAGGAAATACAAGCAGAAGGACACCCTAGACATCAATGGATCCATAGAAACTCCTCAGGCTAGGAGGACTGAGGAATCTCAGGTAAGGCCAAGGATGCAAACTTGTGTTTGAGACCAAACTGCAAACTTGTGGGATGGTCTGTGTGCTGTACTGTGGCAGTGCAATATACCATTGTGTTACCTAGACCTGGGGTGATGCTTCATGTGTGGTGAAGTCAAACTAACTAGTGAGCAGTGTCACAGCTCATGAAGTGTTGCTGAAATATTGCCCTCAGTAACAAACAGTATTTAGTGGGTTATGAGCAGAATTTTGCACTGATCTGTGTGGTCTTGTAGGAGCAGCAGGCTGAAACTGGGGTGTACCTCTCTGCACTGTCCCTCTCAACTTAATTGTTACTCATCTTGGCTTAGAAGAAATTGCTTTCCTCACTCTAATTGATAACATCCTTCTTTTTAGAGGACAAGGCCTGGGTGGGAATCCTATTTTTGTCAGCATTTGGTATATTTTCGGCCAGATGATGGTCCCTTAGCTGGAGGAAACTGTATTTTGTGTAGTCTAAGCTTGACACTTAAAGTTATGGAGAGGAGGAAATGTTCCAGTCTCAACAGATGTTGTTCTTCTTAATGATGTGTGGTTTGCTGGGCAGGTGGTGCCTGCTTCTTGATGACTTTTGGGTAGAGACCACAGCTTGAGTCCCTGGGATGAATTCTCTTCCTTCCCCTGGCACCCAGGTCTGGTTTCAGCATGTTCCTGTGTACAGTTGCTGATATCCTGCAACTCACTGGTGAAACTTGCAGAGATAAGATAATTCCTGGCAATCACAGACTGACTCCTGGAGTAGCTGCTGCTGAGGAATTTTAGATGATCAGAAATAGCTCGTCTCAGAGCTCTTTCATAAAGAGTAACTCAGCTCTTGTGCTGGAGTGTGGGATGGCTGATCATGGGTGACAGTGCCACACACACAGAGGTGATGGTGTTTAATGGTGAGTTTGGCAGTCTGCACAGCAGCCAAGATTTCTGTGTCCCAAGGCTGAAGTGGGGAAGTGACCACCATCCATGAGGATGCAGTGTCAGAGGAATCCTCCCTTTGGCAGGGTGGGCAGGCAGATATGAGCAGCTGTTGCGGCAAGTGAATCACTCCTCCTGGCCCTGCTTCCAGATAAACAGTTGCAGCTTGGCAAGGTCCCTGGAGCGCAGTAGAAACAGTGTGTCCCAGGGTGTTTCCTGGGTGGTGTGTGTGCTGGGCTCATCCCTGAGAAATCTATTGTTTTGGAGAGAGAAGGGAGAAGTGGTCTGAGCTGGGCAGTACCAGCATGTCTTGATGGTTATGCATTGAGAACTCATACCTAGGACATGAAGGTGGCTGGGCACGAACTTGTCCCTGGTTATGGTGTAGTCCTGGTTTCTTGGTGGTGACTGACGTTCAGGAGTCATATTTCCTTATAAGAGCTCCATGGAGGTCTGTTCCACATGTAAAGCTGATGGTAAAGATCTGCCCCACTGGCAGGATGTGCTGGAGTGTTCTTGAAGGTTTGAGATCAGTTAAAATTACACTGGCTCAGGGGCAGGGGTAAGGAGCTGACATTTCTAGTTCAGACACCAACCTACTTTCTGGCCTTTGTAACCTAAACTTGCTGCATTTGGTCCCATAGGTGGTGACTGCTGTGGATGCACAGATGGTGTCACAGTTACTAGTCCTCCATGGAAATGGAGCTGGTTCTCTGCCTTGCTCCACTGAAGGGAATGCAGGTGTTCTGTGACCTCTAGCTCAGTTTTGGATAACCTGAAGGAAAGATACCTGTTGATTTCCAGAAGCTCTTCTGACAACTCCACTGAGACAGGTCATTTCAAGTGACAGAAACAGTTCTGACTCTTTGCATCAAAGGCTTTTCCCATCTTCCAAATACTTGCATATGTTCCTCAGACAAATCTTTGCTTAGATCTTCAATTTCCAGGTCATTTGTCCATCCTGGAACCCTCTAATCTATCACTGCAGTGAGGCTACCAAGGGGGCCCAGTTTCTACCTGGAGCAATCTGCAGGGACTGCCTCCTCTATGCTCAGACATGCTCCTGTACCTCTGGCTCAGCAAACAGTTTGGGCAGAGAAGGAAGCTAATGAAGAAATACAGGAGTGAGTGTTCTGTTTTCCAGCTCTTTTCTTGGCACTGAGCCTTGAGGTGTAGCCATAGGCTTCTGCTTCATGTGTCAACTTCTTAGGCTATGAATTAAAGATCATGTTGGCTGGCTGAGCCCTACAGCTGGATTGACTGGAATTTAGGCTTGGAAGCAGAAAATGAAGTTTTGCTGGGCTTGTTGCTGCTAATGACCTCTGTTCAAGTCGGGGAATTTCTTCTCTCCCTGCTGCCCAGTGGAGGAGGAAGGGGGCAGAGAGGTGTCTCTGTGTAGGGCAGAGTTGGCTGAGGCTAATGTGTCCCACAGTTTATCAGGGTTCATCAGAGCTGTCTCACAGCAGGCGCCACCAGCTCCCCATCACTGCTGGCTTGAATTTCAGCCCTCTGCCTATCTCACCCACAGTGTCATTATTGTCACTCGAACCAGCAGTTTGTGTTTGGAAAAAGAGGGAGGGGAGATAGGGAGGAGAATGGAAGGCAGGGGCTGAAGTTAACCTGTTAAAAACCCACACTCTGGACTTTTTATAGGGATTGCAGGAAAACTCAGCTTTGTCCTTGGCTTGGTAGACCAGTTGGGCAGCAAGAGGAAACCCAGAAACCAGTAGTGCTGCCTCTGGTGTCCCTTACTGACTCTGTGCTGCAGTGCAGACCAAAGAATTGGCAGCCTCTGGTGAGCTTTAAGGCTCTTCTGATGGGTCACTGATGTGATGATGGACTCTTGCTTATAATGGAATAAATGCTGAACTTTTTACACTGAAACCCTGAGAGGAACAAACTCCCTCTTATGGCTGGAAAAGTTTTTTATCCTTTCTTTCAACTCAATCTTCAGTTTTCTGGTGTTTCAGGCCTGTGCCCTGTCTTGGTAAATGTTCATGCAGTCATGTTTTTGCCCTCTCATGGGATAGAAAAAGATGTCTTGAGTGCCAGTCTGCATCCCATGCTGTTCAGGCTCGGGAAATGCATTCATTGAGACCCTTATTTCTGCTTTGTATGTGTCCTGTCCTTGACCCAAGTCCTTTTCCCTTGCCCTTGTAAGTCCTGGTAAACTTTAGATCTTATCAGTGGTTCCTTTGTTTCCTCCACTCAGAAAAACAAATCACTTTTAATAATGTTTTATTTGATCTTTTTTGAATTCGGTTTTTTGTTGCTGTTTTCCCCCAAGGGAGGTGGATGAGTTTCTCTTCCTTTCCTGAAGGCTTACATTTTCAGACACAAGCCTTAAAGCAGGAGTCCAGTAACAGTGGTACTTGTAAGAACAATTAGGGTGAAACTAGAGGCTGATTTAAGGTTGGGAGGAAAGGCTAATACGCTCCATGGGGACCTGCCTGTGGTCAGTGTGGAGTTCAGCACCCATCCTAGCACCTTTATAGGAGCTGTAACTGTTGGCATTTGCTACACTGAAGATGCTGATGAATGCCAGCATGATGCTGCTTGCTTTTAAGTATTGAAGAATACTCCAAGAGCAAGTTGGATTTGCCCGTTGCTTAGCTGAGCTGATTTTTAATTAGTTCAAACTTGTGGTGAACTCAGGTGCCTGGTCCTTAGGGGAAAATTAAAGGAAGTGGGAACAGATATGTCTCTGGAAGGAAACCATCCCACCTGTCAGTCCTACTGACTCATGGCAATTCACCTAACTCAGATGCAGGAGGATGGTGGGATGGTTCCTACCTCAGGTTGCCCAGGGAAGTGGTAGAGTTGCCATCCTTGTAAGTGTTCAGAAAGCATATGAATGTAGCCCCTGGGGATATGGATTAGTGGGGAACACAGTGGTGCTGATTAATGGTTGGACTCAGTGATCTTAGAGGTCTTTTCCAACCCTAATGATTCTGATTGTGCGTCAGACTGGTGAAGCTTTGGGCAAACAGGCTTCCCTGGCTAGTGGGGAAATGGCCCCAGAGCTGCTTTGTTTTACAGCCTGTGTCATGGTTCCCATGACTGTGCAGTCTCTTCCCCTGCCACTGAGGTGCTTTGGTTAACCAAAAGGTCTGCCTAGATGCAGTACCAAGCCAGTAGTCATACTGGTGTGCAGTGCTGAACCAGTGGGCAGCCTGGAGCACATGGGCAGCCCTGTTTGGGTAGTGTGACCCCTGTTTTGCAAGCTGATGGCCTCCTGGTGTGGGGAGGAATGTGTGAAGTATTTGAGGACTGCTGAGTGAGACAGTAGCACATTGTCCTGGGACTGGGAAACCATTCCCAGCTCTGCCACTGACCTGCTGTGATCCTGACCTGGATGCATCTGCAGGGGAACTTGGGCTTGAAAACTGTATCTGAGGGTATGTCCTGTGTCTGTCATAGTGTTGAGGTGCTGTTTCCTGATGAAACAGGATCCCCCCTGATGGGGGAATGTGGCAATGTTACCAGGGGACTGTTGGCTCATGCAGCTTCACACAAGCTGTACAGTGGGCAGGTAGCAGCCTGAATGGGTCTGGGTGCCTGCTCCATCATCCGTGCTTGGCTGTGAGGGGATTTGAGTTTTCAGCTGAAACCCACCCAAATCACCAGTTCATTAGGCCCTACACCCAGCCTGTTGCAGCCTGTCAGAGTTCAGTGAGTTTATAATGATGTGTGTGACTAATTACACACCCATTCTTTCAGGTTCAACAGCATCACAATATTAATATGATAAACAGAGGAAATCTTCACGTGAAAGAGATGGAAACTTTCCAGTGTGTGTCTTGAACCAAAAAGAATTCCTTGAGACCAATGGGGAGGGACAACCAGAGAGCTTAATCCAGTCTACTGCTGTCCTTTGAGTGTCTGACTGTGAAGATAACAACATCAGATGAAGGGGCTGGAGTGTGTGTGAGGGTGGGGAGGAGGAAATCTTCCCCTGCGGCTCTTCTCCTCCTTTGAAGTCACTGACTCATTGGAGTTTTTTGTTTTTCCTGTTTAGTCATTGTGTTGCTGTGGTGACTGGCCCTGTGGTGCTGCCTGAGTGCTAACAAGTGGAGGGTGGGTGAATTCACAACTGTGCATGGAGATAGACAGAGCTAAGAGTAATCCCCTCCATACTCCTGGTTTGGGCTCTGGGACTGGTTGAGCTGTTGGAGACACTGTGCATGGGTGTTGACTGGAATGAATGGTCAGGCACTGGAAGAGGTTTGTGCAGGAGGAAACTGGTAGAATCACCATGCCTGGAAGTGTTAAAAAAACATCTAGATGTGCTGTATGTGGATATGGTTTAGTGGTGGACTTGGCAGTGCTGGGTTAGTGGGTGGACTCAGTCTTGGAGGTCTTTTCCAACCTTGATGATTCTAATCTGTCAATCCATGAATATTACCCATGCTGGCATTGGGTTTCAGCTCTTCTGCACTCAGTGCAGCCACCACCCGAGTAAAATTTGGCCTTTTTCCTCTTCCAGATGATGTTGCTGGAGGATGCCTGCACGTGGCTCCGTTGGCATCATGCAAACGCTCCGGGGCGGTGGCAGCCAGTTAGCTCAAAAGAGCCCATGGTGGCTTCAAGTCTGGAGGTAGCTACTGAGAGTGTAGGTGTTCCTGGGAGCATGGGCAGCCTTCTGGTCATGCAGCAAAGCTCTGCTTTCTTACCTGGAAAGGTGCTGGTGAGAGGTGTCGGTGCTCTGTTTTGGCTCCCACAATTTGGACTGTGCCAGGTAGAAATAAGGTGCTACCAGGCTAGGACACCACTCCTGAGCCTGCTAGCTGTGGCTGAAGCTAACCCTGTAGCTCTGCTTGCTGTTCTGGCTGAGCTCTGGAGATGGCAGGCAGCTGGGAGCCTGGGAATGATCTACATGTGATACAGCTCTTCACAAAATATGTGGTCTTGGTTTTGTACATCTCCACTGGGTCTGCAGCCTGGCCTTGAACATCAATATTTATGTGTAAGTCCTGCACCATAGGGAACAGAGCCTTTAGCTGCCTGTTCTGCTCTCACAGAAGGGGTTGGGACACCAGATCATCATGGTGTCTGTGCCCAAATCTGTTTGGTGGTCATTGGAGAGATAGCCTAGATGACCTTGAGACCTAACTCTTCTGCCAGAGAGGATTGGATCTGGCAGCAGACCCCTCTAGGGAGACTTGACTCCTTCAGCAAGCAGTATTGAGGTGTGAGAACTTTTACTCCATCAGCATGTGTCTGTTCTCTTTCTAGGTGTTACTCTCTCCAGACATGGATTTTGATCAGTCTGAAAGTGACCAGGATATTCCAGGACTCCAGGGAGCCAACCAGAAGATGAAGCAGCCCAGCTATCAAGTAGTCATCTGACAACTCTGGGAACAAGGGAGGTGGAGGAAAGAGCAGCACTGTGATTCTTGAGCTGGCTGAGGAAGGATTGGGTGGAGAATGCTAATTGATCCCTATGGATCTGCAGATATCCTTTTGCCTGGCTCATCTAGGCCTGTCCTTGTCTTTGGGGTGGTATCTGTGCATCCTCTACAGGCTTGAACAGTATCTGCTTTGCCTGTCTGCCCCCAGCCTGTACACATGCAGGCACATTGAGGTTAGCGGTATGGGTATGTACTTCCCCTGGCTGGTCAGCTGGGTGGAACTCTTTTTGTCAGGGCTAGAGATTTGAAATCGAAAGCTTGCTGGGTTTTTTAATAGAAAAAGAGGAAAAAAAATCTGTTCTGTACTACCTGAACTGTGACACTTTTATATGCACAATACTCAAAAGAATTGTTTTTTGCAATATATATTTAAATGTCTTGAACTGGGAAGATTGATTCATTGGATCTGATGTTTTTTACTGTTTTGTAAGGAATCCAATAAATATTTGACCTAAAATTGCTTCATAAATGACATGCCTTCATGTGCTTAATGTTCTGCAAACCCCTAACACTTTAAAGGGGTAGAAGAGAAGAGCAGCAAGGCTGGTGAAGGGACTGGAGCACAGGTGCCATGAAGAGAGGCTGAGGGAGCTGGGGGTGTTCAGCCTGGAGAAGAGGAAGCTCAGGGGAGACCTTCTCACCCTCTGCAACTCCCTGACAGGAGGTTGGAGTCAGGTGGGGGTTGGTCTCTTCTCCCAGGCAACCAGCAGCAGGACAAGAGGGCACAGACTCAAGCTCTGCCAGGGGAGGGTTAGGTTGGGTATTAGGAAGAGATTTTTTAGGAAGAGAGTGCTCAGGCCTTGGAATGTGCTGCCCAGGGAGGTGGTGGATTCACCATCCCTGGAGGTTTTCAAGCTGAGACTGGATGTGGCACTTAGTGCCATGGTCTAGTGACCATGGTAGGGTTGGACCTGATGATCTTGGAGGTCTTTTCCAACCTGATTGATTCTATGATAAGAGGAGCTCTTATCTCCCTGCTGCAGGGCTGTGCCAGTAAACCTACAGCTGAAGAGCTGAGTCACAGTGCTTGGTGTCTATACATGAGTTCTATGAGCTCCTGCAGTGCAGAGACCTGATGCTGCAGGATCAGCCTGTGCTGGACTCCAGACCAGACTCTTGAGAAGGATCCCAGTTGGCAGTTTACAAGTGAGTGTTTACTGGATGTTGAATATTTGCCTTTTACCTAGTTTAAAGTAAACATATGAAATCTCTGCAGGACCTGATTCAAACTGGATCTAAAGAGTCAACCAAAGCCACATTAACAACTCTGATCTGGGGGTAACAGTGCTGCAGGAGGAGACCCTGGGTCATTCCAGGACTGGCACTTTTTTTGCTCCAAGTGTGGAGTGCAAGGCTTTGCCCTTGCTCTCCTGTTAACATACTGTACTTGTCTATAAACACACAAAAATGCAAAACACTTTGCAGATGTCCTGGGGAGGGAGTGAGCACAGAACAGCTGCATAACCCACTCCCAGGCTGGGTGCAGAGACACAGCTGTGGTGAGACCCATACAGTGTCCAAGGGGTGGATAGTCCTCAGAGCAGAGTCTGATCCAGGATCCACTTAAGTGGAGTGATAGCCCCAGTTGAGCCATAGACAGAGTTTGCTTATTGCAAGACAGTCCCCAGAAGTGCTGGGTGGGAATGATTTATTTTCCCTCTCTCCCTTATATTTTCCCAAGAAAACATTCCTTATTAAGAAGTAGAAAAAGTATTTGGATTTTCTAACTTAGATGGATTTAGACTTAAAAGCTGAGAGCATATGGAGTTTTTTGGGTTTGTAGGGGGTTTTTTGGGGTCTTGCTTGTAATATTTTTCCTCACTTCAAAGTAGTTTAGAAGCCTTAGATGCAAATCAAAGTCTTGCATGTCCCTCAGTGAACCAGACACGCTTGACTACACTTGCAGCTGTTCAGCTTTATACTGTTTTTCTGGAAATTAAGTCCTTTTTTGTTTTTCTTCCTTAATGAAGGGTCAAAAATCCTACTTTTGCTGGCACATCAAAAGGCTTTTGGAACACATGGCACACAGCTCTCTGAATAGATCATTTATATTGCTTAGTGAAGTTGGTTTCACAATGCAACTTCTGCATGTCTGGAGAGTTCTGCACTGGTAAGGGCTGGAATAAGTCCTGTGCTGTGTAAGGTCTTGACTGGAAGTAGATTAAAACAGCTTCCCTAGTAGGAAATTGCTCCCTATTTGGAGGTGCACTGGTATTTGGGGTTTTGTTGTTGCTCTAGGGCTGCACAGTGCAATGCTGCAGTATGTGAAGAGTGCAGATTTGGCCACAGCAGAGTCCTTGCCCTAAAATGGACAGTGAGTGACAAGATCTTCAGCTTAGCCTGTAGCTGAGGCTGGCTGAGAAGGTTTACAGTAGGCAACAGCAGGGCAAGTGAGATGTGAGGGAAGGTGGTCCCTCAAGAATTGTGTAGATAGTGCTGTTTCAGCAGCCCTAAGTTGAGGAATCCCATT